GTGGAATTCTGAAGGAACCACAGAAAACCCCACAGTTTCCACAGGTTAACATGCACTCAACCCCAAATGGGAGGACTGTTAAAGAATGTTATCACACACTATTGCCTCTCTTTCAATGCATGAATAAATTAAAGCCTACTTGACCAGAAAATCAGAATGACAAGCAGTTTGTAACTCAAAGACTAAAGACTTTTCCTCAGAGGGACACCACGCTCCTTGCACATACACCACACTCAGCCACACTTCTGTTCCTCGTACTGGAACATCTCCCCACCCTGTCAAGAGACCGCTCAAAATCATTACATGATTAAGAGAAGGCACACGTGTGCACTTTATAGTACTTGTTTTATAATATTATTCCCCAAAAAACATTCCATTAGGAAAACATTGGTATTGCCAAGTCAAGCATCCTGAACTGAAAAGAAGCCACAATTAAATTTTCTCTGTAACCTGAATTTGCCCCTCTCCTTGCTGTCAGGACTTCCAAGCAGGCCGTAACAGCTGCCCAACAGTGCAGGAGTCAGAAATATTCCCACATTTAAGGAAGTTATGGGAAAAACTCTACAGTCTTCTCCCAAGCTCTTACGTTCTTCACTTTTTGAAGCTCTCTCTCCAAAGTGTATCACAACAACAAAACATGATTCTTGTTTACTAGCTCATTAGAACTACTCATATTAAGGACTGCTATCACATTTTTCTTCTTGACACAGCTTTAATTATTTCAGTCTTCATAAAGTGGGACAGACATAACACCTCTGTCCTGGTTCCATTACTGCTTGCTCAGTTCAGCGAGATGGCACAGAGCTGGGAGTAAGGGATGCTGAACACAGATGTACCCACAGGGCACAAAACCCAGCTCCCAGTCCACACCCACAGCTCTGCCAGGCACTTGCTTACCACAACTGAACAGGTGCCCTGGCGACACAAAAAACAGAGTTGTTCAACCTCTCCCTACATTACAACAGGAAACCCAGCTGTCCCTCCTTAGCTGCACACGGAAGCGCACACCCATCACATTCCGTGACTGAAGCTCGCTACAGCAGCGTGCGGTTACAGGCATCCCAGCCAAAAAGGGTACATCCCTCCTTCCAGGCCGCAGCGAGGTAGTGCATAAACCACTGTTCAGATCCATAAACTGGAGAACAAACATCTTTTTGTGGAATCAATCCAACACGCAGCAGAGACGAGCACTTCCTGCCGCTGTTTTGTTCAGATCCCCAGCTGCCGACGCTTCTGAGCATGCCTCGCGCTCGGCTTCCACGGCCCAGCTGTACCTCAGACGTGGAGAGCTTCAAAGTGCACTTCCAGCATCCAGTGCAAACGAACTGCGTTTACACAGTGCTACCAGCAAACGAGTTACAGATTTTCTGCCGAACAAAATCATTACACCTCAGCAGAACTACTGATGCAATAACGCGGTTCAAAAAGCCTCAGAACCTCTCGCTTCAGTATTATCTTTAAAATAAGGGTAATTAAACCTTAAAAAAAAAAGCATCACATTCAAACAGGAAGAAATACAAAATCCACACAAAGAATTTCAAGGTTTAGCTTTAAGCACTATCCAGAGGCCAGCAAATTAGGACAGGCTGACCTCCAGGTACCCACACTCTGGCAACCCTTCATACCAACTAACAAGTCAACACCTCTTTCGGGTGCTAAACTGCGGTCAACACTCAAGCTTCTATCTATTGCTTCCCATGCTCAGTAAAGCAGATTAAAGTAAAAAGCTTTAACTCCTTATTTCTTAAAAAAAAGGCACACAAGCAGTCTTCCCCCTACTTCTACACGTACAAGTGAAATATTTACAGTAGTAGAACGGAACAAACAGTTGAACAGTTGGTTGGTACCTGACACTCGTATTGCCAGTTGCAGCCTAATTCAGCTAATAAATCTGCTCCCAGCCACTTAAACAGTTTTTAGTGCAACATTGTTAAGAAGCAAAGAAACCTGGTCATTCCCATCCCTACAAACATACCTTTCGAAAAAGCAAAGAAGAAAAACGGTGACTATAACGATGCCACTTCCTACAAAACCCCAGCAGTAACTTTTCTCAGTATGTGTGTCAGGAAACAGTGTCTAGGTTTCTAAGTTGATACATCAATTTATACACAGAAAATCCAACTGAATTTAAGCATCAACTGTACCAAAAATACAAACAGCACTCCAATAACCTTCAACTGGAAGACAAAACCAAAATGTAAGGAAAAAAGTTAATTTGGTGTTACCCTATTACATAACCATTAAATCTTACAGCTGTTTGAATGTCATTCACCCAACTATTTAAAAAAAAAAAAACCAAACACATCACTATGTATGAAATCTTAATTTTTTCTACAAAGACGACAGTTTTATTCTCCTTTGGCTTCAACTAAAGGATTGAAGAAGAACACTGCAAAACAGCTTAATTAGATTTACAGAGAAGCATCCCCTTGTGCCTTTGACAGCCTGGCAGAATGGTAAACAAAAGGGCAACTTGGACAAGTTCAATCTCAACTTTGTCCCCAAGTTTGACAGAGTTTACTTCTTTATAAATAAAGCAATTAACAGCTTTCACATTAAGGATCACACAGATAAATAAGAAACCAGGCGACAGCTTCATAGGTCTGCACTTCCTGTCCCTCCTTGCAGTTTCCTGCCACGTTATATATATTTTTTGAAAAAAACAAAACCGAGCCAACCACCACTGAACTGCTTACCAATCAAGCTCAAAAGAGAAATGTATCCTTAATTTGCAAATGAGCAATGATTAAGCCACCTTGTCTTCCTGAATCACATGAAATTGCGTTTTCACTTAGGGAGATGCAAGAGACATTTATAAGCCTTTCCAATACAAAATCAAACTAATCAGTTTAAAAATGTAACTTCTCTTCAAATGCATACACATCATTTATGTTAAAAGATTTACGAGACTAAAACAGCTCACTATCTGAACAACGAGGTCTCACATCACCCTATTTATGACAACACTAGCAGAAGTAATACCACTGTACAGCTGGCATCGTAAGACTAGACAAGGCAGCACTGCTTCAGGCTCATGTTGTACAAAAAGGTCTTGTCTCCAAAGCACTGTAAGTGCAGGGCTATACTAAATTTTTCATTCCATGTGGCTACTAAAATTCACTGTACGGACAGAGTTCATAAATTCAACTGTCTTGGTTTTTTTAATTATGACCAAGTAAAGGAAAATAAACCATATGCATTACCAATTTATAATAAAGAAGTTTCAACCCTCTGGAATATATGGAGCTGTGCTTCATAAACTCCATACCTGATAGAAACAAGGAAAAAAAACAGCTGCAAGACAAAAGAACTACCAAATTGACTTAACAGGACAGAATAACATGGAGTTTGTTTTATTGTGACAGATTTCCTAACAACTGTGGAAGAATCCCCAAGCATCTATCTACTACCTTTCAGCCAGGCAACGGAGACACGGTCGCTAGCTGAGGAAGTGCACCTTTCTCTCCCACTATCACATTTTGACTTCTCTGTGATAATTTTTTTCAATCACCAAATTCTCATATAAAGTATCTATGGCTGGAGTCTCCAATACCAAAGGTTAGAAAATGTCTCTAAGAGTACGAAAGACACTGACAGCAGAAAGCACTTCACACTGTGAACTACAGTTACCACGATGAACTCCACAGCGCCAGTTCAGTGAAGTATGACTCTAAGTGCTCTGAGGATCTGCAGAGTTGCTACATCAAACTCAAAGCTTTTGACTGTACATGTCTAAGCACACGTTTTTCATTGCTTGGTGTTTTTTGGTCCATGCAACCACTGCAAAGGCAGCACTGGTGACTATAAACCTGCCACTTGTACATTCCAAAACTGCCAAATTCAGATCTTGGACCAGCAATAAAATGTACCATCAGTAAACCTACAACAGCAGCCCAATGTCTAATTCTAGAGCTTCAGAATCTCCAAATTGTCAACAATTTAAAAAAATCAATACAAAGGTTAAGATTGAACATGTAAAGGAATAAGACATGAGGAAAACTGGTTGTAACAAAAAGGAAACTCTCATTATTGGACAGAAAATGCTTCAATATGCATAAATCCTTGAAAGAAATATTATTACACATATGCAACATTCAATTTCACACATAAGATAAAATCATTTTTATTGACAAAAATTTGTTTGTGCTGGTGTTTAAAATCTCAGATAAAAACAATGGAATGAAAGTAAGAAGTTATATGATCAACCAACCGTCTGGAACTTCAGCGTCAGCATGACTGTACGTAACGCCTTCTGTAAAACACTGCTCAAACCCTTCTCTTTTAGCCAAGCCTTCGGAGTATTTTTGACAAGTTAATCAATACCCTCATAAAGGAACGATATGCTGAATGAAATAACCTTACACAGCTAGCATGGACACATGCTGTGTATTCTATTCATTTACTTGCAAACGTCAGAACTTTTTGTTCACCGTTTTACACTCGAAAACACCGACAACTCAATCTCTGCATCACATTATGTTCAATTCCAGTGACAGTTACCTTGGTACTGGTCCTCGCTCTGTGTTACCTTCAGCTTTGCTTTTCTTTTGTGGGTTTTGGTTTTGCCAGACCATTTATTTTCTCACCAGTCAAGCAGCCCACCATGCCAAATAAGCGCATTCTTGATTACATACAAGCCACGTGATGTCCTCATACATGTGCTCGCCACTGGCAAGAATGGGAGCGCTCCACATGAAGTCTGTCAACAAGGTTATGTCAGAAAGGCTATCTTAGATCTTCGTTCATTACCAAAGAGGTTATTTGAAGAAGAGTTTAGAAAAGAATGGTGCATAAAAAGAAAATTACTCAGCTCTCTTTCACTGTACTGACCAGTTTAGAGGACAAAAGTATTATTCAGCTGGCAACCTTTTACACTGCCACTCCAACATCCACGCTTCCAACACACACATGTGGAAACCTTCTTCCATACATATCTTACACAAAAAAATACAGCCCTTTACTGCAAACATGTATGAGAACAGTTCTGCCACACGAACATCTCATGTTCCTTTCTTCATGTACCGGGAGAGGAACTGGCTTCTGACAAAGTGGAGCAGCTTGGTCTCTGTGCAGAACATAGTAGCGATGGTTGCTGCAAAGCAGAGAGCCCCCACGCTGATGTGAATCAGCCTTGCCATCCAGCCCTTATCGCAGCAGAACAATACCTACGACAAAGGAAACAGGCAAGCACGGGAAAAGTAGTCAGCACAAAGTACACTCGCTGTCTCAATAAAAAAAATAAGGTCCACACCTCTCCAGAGCATGCTAATGCCACCATCAAGCTGAGCACGGTTTTGCCACATGCACTGATCCTACAGTAAACTTTTCGTAGTCACGACACTTGCTTTCTTAAGAAAATTCTGTCAGCAAAAGCAAGCACTCAGTAGATACCCGGTAAACGTGGAGGTGACTATTAGCCGGCATGCAGAAACACGTTAATCGAGGTATTAGGAAAACTCTACTGGTGCTATCACACAAGTCTGCTAATTTGCAACAACGTGTTAGGCTATTTTCTAACAAAACCCCACTGGAAACCTGCCATTCCAAAACATAAAGCTCTCCTTTCTAAGGCATAATGGATTTTCAGTCTGTCAAATTTTTGTACACTGAAATGCTACCATCTCCATAATAATTAGTCTGCACAATTGCCATCTTGTAGTCTGAATAAATGTGGTAAATGTGCTCTTGGCAATTTCTGTTTCTTGTTTTGGTTCTTTTTCCCTTATCGCTTTTTTATTACAGAATCTTTAGTAACAGTTTTTGTGCGCTACTGCAAAGTTCCAATTATTATTAAGAACTAAGGATCCAGATTTATCTACAGACAGCAGAAATGTGTTAAATTTTATTTTACTTGTCAGATACACCTGCTACAGGTGGCAGAGAGAACTCCACCAACGATAAAAATCTCTTCATGACGTCTCTTTCCTTGCCTGTGATGGAAGCCTTCCAGCCCACCCTCAGAAGCCTTTTTTGCTCATGGTACTTCTTTGCTTGTGGACACAAAAGTCATTTGACACCAGCTTTCACAGGGAAAGCAAAATCTGAGGAAGATGCTTACCTCTGAGAAACCAGTGATTGTTCCACTTAGGATATAAACGAGTACCAAAAACGGTGAGGGAAGCAGGCCCGCCAAAGGCCTGTAAGGGCTTTCTCTGAAGTAGTCATAGATATAGTGGATGCTGTGAGCTATCCGAATGCCCATGTTGAAGCAGTTGGCAAGGATAAAGCCTACGCTGCCATGCCAGTAGGTCAAGAAATAAGAGATGCACAGAAATGTGAAGGACAGGGCCAGCATAACAAAGTTGTACCTAGGGAAAAAATGAAACAAGTTAGCAATGTATACAGCTACACTACTTATTTACTAACTTTGTCTTTGAGCACATATCACAATTTATTTTCTAAAATGAGGAACAGAAATTCTCTTACAACATTCTAGTAGATGATAAATTTGAGAACCAAGATGTTAATAAAAAGAAAATCTTTGAAAGAATGGAAAATATATCAAATTAAACCAAGAACTACATTATGTGAAAGAAATTCTGTTTCATTAAATCAGCTATATGCTCATTTCAAAGTCAAACTAGTAACAATGATGAGTAACGTAAAACTTGGGGATATTTTTCTCATTTTATTTCAGATATGTATTAAAGAAAAATTATGCTCAACAACATGATGCTTTATTCAGTTTCTGCTCCAAACAGTAGCTTTGAAAACAAGTTCACCCTTTAAAGGGGTCATGAAAGCCACCCTTGTTAAATCTAAAACATAATGCTTTGACTGTGGGAAGTAGACCTCATGGAAACTAATTGGGGAAGGCTTTATAAGGGACAGCTGCTACGGAAGTGAAAAAAGCTTGATGGTAGTAGCACTGGGAAAGCAACCCAGCTTCAAAGACAATAGCCCAGGGTGAACACAGGATCAAGAAATAATCCAGGCTGGAGGGGATCCCAGGAAGCCATCTAGTACTGCTTCCCACTTCAAGCAGATAAACCACTGAATTCACACCCACGGTTTGAAGCGTACCTGACATACAGTACTGTACACAGACACGCTGAAATCTACTGACACACAGAACCTAATACACAGTAACTGTGCCTGAAAAACCCTGACAGCTGCCGAATTTTAATGACTTAAGTGACAGGCTGTCTTAAAAACTGCAACTTCAAGCGCATACTTATAGAAAACAAGACTTCGCATTTAAATCACTTTTCCAGTTAGTGATATGCTGAAAGCTAATTTAACAATCTTGTTCCTTAATTTTTGACCTTTTTACCCAAACATTTCAACAGTTGCTAAAGCTTCTACATCTAAATGTACATGCAGACAGCTAAATAAGGAGCTGGTTTTCAGTGGGGCAGGATAATTTCATGCTGATTTCAAATGCACCAATCTCTCTACAAGGTCATTACAAATCAATTTTTAAGATCAGTGATTATCAACAAGCATCTAAAACTACCCAAAGGTAGCCCACGTTTGTTTGTCCATCCGCTGCACCTGGCTCTGGAGACAAGGAACAGTTCTTAAAGTAACTGCAGAAAGAAATTTGCTCCCTGGGAAAAAAGCATTTCCAGGCACCTATCCACACAGAAAAAATGTTGGGTTTACAGCTGAGCTCCAAGCTAAGCATACGCAGATTAATTAGACGAATATTCTGGGGACACCATTTCCTACCTGTCTACCTCCTCTTTGCACATCAAGGCGAAGGTAAAACATTCCGTTACTCCATTGATGGCAAGAAATAGGACATATAAAGAGTAACATCGGAGCAGAGCTGGACCTAAAAAACACATGAGAATGATAAGCAGATGATGATTTCTTTTAGAAAACTGCATTGTTTTTACACTCAGAGATAAAAGTTGGAAAGCTACCACTAATAATGGAAACTTAAGTCCATTTGAGTAAGATTCTTGTCAAGATACCTTGACATGAACACAAATAAACAAGGCAGAATAAACAGAAAAATAAACCCCCAAACACCCAAGAATAGCAGTTATTACAGTAACAGAAAAAGATATAGATTAAAAGAAGTATATTATTCAAAGAGATTTCCCAAATAAAAACATTTATCATAACCCAAATCTTCTATTGTACAGAAACCTGTGGAAATTAAACAAATAGTCATTATCAGGTACTATAAAAATCAATAAAATATTTAATTTTGAACACAACTGTAAGAAAAACAGACAGGCTATTCAGAATATTCAAAACTGTGCTAGATAAAAAACTATGTTCAGAATTTTATGGGTCAGAGATAATTTATACATGACTTCAAAATTCACCATTCAGACCTTAATCTTTTCCTTGCCCCTCAGAATTTAGAACACTGGGAAAAAGACCTGGGGCGGAGCTGAAGACTTTCTTCTCAAGTATGCCTAAAAACATTACACTAGAGAGCACCTGGGGAACAAAAATTATCCAAATTAATTTAACTACAAATATCTGGTCACATAAGTCAGTACACATGATCAGCATTTCATTTTCACACCATCATCGTTAGGGAAAAAAGTAAATTACTTCTGAGTCACTTGACTTGTATCCATATTCCTAAACACAGTCCTTTCCAGGCAAGTCAGCATGTCGAAAATGTTAATCCCAGACACCCGTTCTTGAAGAGGGAGGGACTTTTTTCATTTTAAAAAAAAAAAAAAAAAAAAGTTGGCTGCTGGGGTCCGGAATGACAATCTTTCATAACATTACTTTCAAAATTAGAAATAAATCTGACAGAACCAGGAGCAAGATAACTCAAAACAACATGCAAGAGTTACTAACATTTTTCTTGCTTGTGCAGACACAGGGTTTTCCTTAAAATTACTACATAAATCAAGCACCAGCTTCAAAGTAACGTGCAAGGGTCTGAAGCCAAAGTATCTAAATGCTTAACATCAGGAAACAGAACGAGCCCATGGGATTGGAATATATCAAATGATCTTAACACTGAACAAGGTAAATGCAATTTATTTTAATATCCAATAAGGAATATTCCACACTTATGGTCTGAATGTGCATAACTCCGACAGGAGCAACTGTCTTCAACACAATATATCGTCAGGTGCTTTCAACTTCCCTGTGCCTTTCTCTTAGTTATAACAGATGTGAAATGGAAAACGCAAGCTAGAACTCTCCTCCGATGGCACATGGGTAAAATTTCCAGACAGAAATGGAACAAAAACACTTTGAGGAGCCGCTAGACCTACACCCCAGACAGATCAGCTAGGAAGAGTCATTACATGGGGCTCAGCTGTAGATGTTTTTTTCTACCAGGAGCTAATGCAGGTCAACTAACCAACCAGTGGAAGACCCTAGAAAATGCCAGTCTACAGTTTCTGTGTTTGTTTCAAGAAGGTATTAAATGAACCTCTATTTTCTCTCCTGAAAATCAGAGGTGACCTACAAATCCCTTGACTGGTTCTGCAAACAGATTTGGAAAACTTACCCCTCAATATGTACAACTATAGCAAGATCGTTACCATTATATGGTTTAGCCATATAAAAACCAGGTATTATTGTTTCTATGCTAAAACTATGGATTCTTGGTTTCCAGTTTGTTGTATGGGTTTTCAGGGGAGGGGTTATTCTTGTTTTAAACAGAGTCAGCAATTTTACATCACAGAGACACCAAACCATCCTTTAAAGTGTTCTGTGTATCAAAGGTGCTATTATACGAAGGCTGAGTTCTGGATTCAGACAAGTCAAGTCACCTATTTCAAGAGGGGTTTTACAGAAAAAAAAAAATTAATCTGCTGATTTACCCAAGAACTCCTAATAGCTGCAGTTTTTCCTTTTAAAGAATGGCTTCTTTGCCAGCTTTATAAATCTTTACCTGTTCCAGAACTAAGCATTGAGCCTCCATAAATATCCAGCGCCAGCTGAGAATAGGCATAGCCAAAAACTGTGATGGTAAGGCCAATCAGAAGTACAAGTTTCAACAGCAATTCTAATACATTTGCAGCCATAGCGACATCATCCTGAAAAACAAATGTGGTCAATTACTCACATCAGAATCAATATAATAGTTATTTTCATATAGAAAAGCTACTTCACACAGAAAAAAAAAATCACTTTGCACAGTGTAAATAGGTGTGAAACACCTTTTGCTACTGAATTATCCATGAACACAGCCTTAACTTCCACTGATTTTTATGTATTTACTATGTCCATCTAGGATTTGCACATCACAAGTTCTACACGAGCGTTAGCCATGAACGTGTCTGCTAAAGGAAGGGTGCAAACAGCACTTCCACCTGCTCAGCAGTCAGTAAACGGCGAAGAAGAGCACGGCATCTGCCCAAGGCCACAGTTAGAGTCAGCGGGAGGGTCAGATTTTTATTGCAGCGTGAGATTACAGGATTTGCCACACCAGAACAATTAACTTGTCAGTTCTCCTACCTTATTGCAAGAAGCATTCTTGTCATTCTTATAACATAATTTCACTATGTAGAGGGAAAACTCGTAATTGTTTTGCCAGCTATACACATCAGGTACACTATACATGAAATATACATATCCATACACCTTTCTTAGCCCAGCAAAGACCTGAAGAACGGGGTTTGTTTAACTCTGTGCTGATGTGCAAGTAGCAGGACTGCTGCAAAAAGGTGTCACAGTGTCAGACAAAAGCCCAGGCTGACATTCATTACCGATCAAAAATTTCTTACCTGTAGCACACATGAATATTACTCTGGTACAAAGCCCTTGGTCATTTAACCATTGATACTTCACACACAAAAGCTCAGGAAAAATGCAATTATTTTCTTCCCAAAACCGGATTCTTTGGAACCATTACTGTTTAATATGTAACATCTATTTATTTGTTTAATAATTAACAGTATGTATTTGATAGATACAGCATGCTTTCATGATTTAAATAATTGCCCGAGTCTCTCTGGAAATACACAGTACAGTGGGGTTTACATCACACTGTTTGAAGCAGATGATGTTTACTTCAGTTGTAACACCAGGCAGTATTATGCCGCTGAATACCTTAATCTCTATTTCATTCATTCACCTCTCCTATGATGAAAGGCTGCAAGAACTGGGCTTGTTCAGCCTGGAGAAGAGGAGGCTCCAAGGAGACCTCATTGCAGCTTTCCAGTATCTGAAGGGGGCCTACAAGCGTGCTGGGAGAGGACTTTTTACAAGGGCCTGTAGTGACAGGACAAGGGGTAACGGGTTTAAACTGAAAGTGGGGAGGTATAGATGAGATATCAGGAAGAAATTCTTCACGGGAAGGGTGGGGAGGCATTGGGACAGGTTGCCCAGAGAAGCTGTGGATGACCCATCCCTGGATGTCTTCAATATGGCTCGGAGCAACCTGTTCTAGTGGAGGGGGTCCCTGCCCATGGCAGGGGGGTTGGAACTAGATGATCTTTAAGGTCCCTTCCAACCCAAACCATTCTATGATTCTATGATTAGCATTTTACCTATTTTCTTTTCGGTCCAGCCGCACTCGACATTTTTATTTTCCACTTCAACTTTTCAATTTTAACAGCCTTTATACTCAAATCTCAACATACACTTCTGTCAGTAACACCCCTGTGATGCAATTTGTCTGTAACAAAAAAAATCAAGCATTTGACATGTAATTAATCCAAAATAAACGTACCTGCTTGTGATCCTTGACATTCTTCCCTCTTTCCAACACTTTAGCAAAAAAGATGTAAAAACTCTCCTCAATAGGCAAAAAGATAAACCTGGCCACCAGTGAACCAAGATTATTCACGATATCATATACACCTTTAAAAAACAGAAATAAAACAAAACCAAAAGCATAGCAACAACCTGTAATTTTTTAGACGCATTTTAATTCCAAGTCTTTCACAATGACATGAATCCTAATTTAGCATTTCCACTGAACAAAGAAAACAAGTGCAATTTAGTGCAGCATTAAAGCAGCGTTCCCTAAAAATTCTGAGAGTCACAGCAACGACAGCTCAAAATGACAAGGCCTGCTCGTAGATGGCAAAGCTAGGACGGAAGCATCAGCTACAAAGATGTGAACCTAGGAACAGCAACAAGCCACGTTTAAAATTCTTACTGTAGAGGAAGTTAAAAGATCCTGATGAATTTCACTGAATGGAAATGGGAATGTACTGATACAGGAGAAGAGAAAGATGGCTATTTATAGTGAGAGGTTCTTCTTTCTTTTTACTTTCACTGAAGTGGAAGAACAATCCTACATGACATTTTACCAGCACTTCCATCCTCAGCAAGATACTGCTCCGAATCTGCTAACACATGTATGTAGGTACGTGTATATACACACACACACAGAGTACAGCCATCGAGAGCATGCACAGTCAGGCAAACATGTAAGTGCTTTACATATTCACAGTGAAACGATAGAATAAGCTTCTGGCTGACTCCAGAGGCCTTGGAACCAATGTTTCTCAGCACCTTGAGAGTACAAGCATTTTTGTACGCATTGCTCTTTGAAAGACCCAAGTGAGAGGCAGCTCAATTGTTCCACAGAGAAGACTGATCAGAAGCAGCCACAGTTACTAGTGGCAAGCACATATACCCAGTATTTATGGGGAAAACATACTAACACCAGCAATTAAAAGTAATTCAAACTAACCAAGGACCTTTTAACAGTGGGCAAACAACTACAGCCTGTTTTCCTTCCCCAAGCTCTGAATACCACAGGTGCTGCTAGCTCAGTCATCTGAACACCTACTGCCAGACGTTACTCTGTAAGCACATGGATCCCAGAACATCATCCCGTGTTGAGTTGCAATGCTACAAACAATGATGGTCTTGCTGTAACAGCTAACACAGATTCAAAAGGAAGACAGAAAACAGAATTACAAAAACTGCAGACAGACAACTACAGTAGATCAGCTTCTATTGAAGCTGTTTTTTAAAAAAGAAACAAGATACATGGTATCACATATCCAACTGGAAAGTTTTGATCCAATGAAAAAATAAAATTAAAATCCAGGATCACAAATTAAATTCTTTTCTATACTTTTATCAACCATCTTCTGAAATGTAGTCAAAAAGGCTTTGAAATCTCCGATTTTCAAGTTATCTTCAAATACTTGAAGTCATTTTCAGAACGTACCGAAGAGCAGTGAATAAAAACTGTGTCAGCACCCAGCAACACCATCCCACTTACCCTGATCTCCAAAATTTAACACGTTCAAGAAAGTCATCACATATCGTTCACCTGTAAATTCAAAATTAAAAAAATTAAGAACAAGTCCCTAAATCTTTCCCAATACTGGTTCAGGTGCTACCAATAGTAAGAGAAAGTGAAACAGGGCAGAACAGAGTTCAGAATACCCTAAAAAATTTCATTTAGGTTGGTAACATCTGCTGGCAACAATCTCAAAGTCACATGGCCCACCCACCCATCCTTCTCAAGTCAATTTTGTAAAGAGCATTTACCAGCCCTTCTCCATCACAGCTATATATCAAGCCTCACCCTCTGTCAAAATCTGTTTCAGGAAGGATTGTTTGAAGAAACTCCAAGTCAACCGTGCTTCCTTCCAGTTAACGAAGGTCTGCAAAAAAGAGTACAGAAATATAATAAACATGGATTGGAACTACAGAGTGGAAATAGAAAATGCAAAGCCAGTATACTAGGCTGGCTCTCACCGCACCGATGAGGAAAACCCACACACTGTAATAGTTACTAACAACTAATCTAAAATATCGCTAAATTCAAGCACCAATATTGCTCTGATCTGGCAAAGACTTTTTCCCTTGCTGAAAATAAATGCTGTTGCAGGTGAAGTACCCAAACAAGCTTTCTACAGAAAATACTCAAAGTTAGGGATGAGAAAACACCCCCATGCTGCTTAGCACGCCACTATAACTTCCACCTTCGCTGTAGAAATAAACTGCTTACTGCTCTCCCAATGTACCTATGTCCTGCAACAAAGAACTGCATTTGTCTTGTCAACCTCTAAATCTTTTGCAAAATGTTTTCTTCCTCCCTGTTCTCTTTGCATTTCTTTCTCTGCCTCATTTTCTTCTGAGAGAACAGAGATATTTTAGCGTCTGTAGGATGCTGTGTACCACCATGTTTATTTTGTGGAAAAGTCCAAGTACCAAAACCCATGGTAAAATGGTTCTGGTTTCTTTCCTGACTCAGATCCAGCAATACCTGCTCATTCCAGTGCAAGGTCCTGCACCTGGG